CTTCACCATAACCTAACCTTCTGCTGCCATCTTTTTAGTTAAAATGCCATAACCAATATTTTATGACGTGCAGAGTGGTTTAAAAGGCTTTATCAACTGTTCAAACAGGAGATATAGATCTGGTACAAATTCTGGGTAAAAAATTCGACACTGTCCGTATTTCATTTCAGAGATTTGTCAAATTGTTGTATAACACTTGCAGACAGCACCAAAATATTCTAATAAACCAAAGGCAACATGGACGATGCCATGATTATACATAACCACTCGCCATATTGGGCAAAAATATATTCTTCTATTGAAAATTAATTAATTATGTTTCAGTTCGACATTACTGATATAAAGTGATAAACATTAGTGTAATTGTGTCTAAATATAGGATTTGTGGAAGATTTAACGCAGATAAGTTCAGTTTTTCATCTTAAAAATATAAACATACTTTTGATCATTATTAAAATATGAATCAGATACGAAGCCCGTACAAATTGCGTAACTACTTTGCACGTTAATCACAATAAAATTTGCTGCGCAAGTAATCCAATAGCCCTATATCACAGTGTAGAAGTTTAACATATACCTGTGTATGAAATTCACAATGCCTGATATGTAAGTAAACAAGATGACTGCAATGTGTTAGTTATATATTCTCCACTTCGCCTATACAATATACAGTATAAAGTAGAATGACGTAGCAGAATAGTTGTATAGTTGACAAAAACTGAATTTTGCCCTGACGCAAATGTTCTCTAGCGGCTGCAAGAGGTTTACACTTTTGATATATAACTGTTACCTGCAGTCCTTATACAACCTCTTAAATGACTGAAGTGTCCTATTAGGTATGCCCATTCCGCTTGTGTAGCTGTTCTAAGAGCGTTTTGCCAATGTTCTTACGGTATACAATGCTGTGTAAGGAAAACTGTATAATCGTTCTTGCAACTCTAATTGGAGTGATAATTGTTAGTTTTGTCGCCATGGTCCTCGCACGTGTCGCTCTTACATACCGAAAATTCTATACGCACAGGTGGCCCAGAGGACGTTAATGGAATTTAAATAACAATGGTCATGCAATTGTTATATTAACATTCGATTAAGGACGGTAGTGTTCAAATTAACCGTTTTTCCGGCCACCCTGGGAACGAACCCAGCCCAATAAAAACTATCCTTTATGATAAGAAGTAGTCAGAGATGCCTGTTGGAAAATTGCGCGCTCTATTAAATTATAATCAATTGTGCATGGAAATGCTGATAATCCAAAGATACATTTATAAATGCTTCTACGATAAATGATATTTGCTGAAGCCATTTAATACCAAAAATATCAGATATTTACAGAACTACCTCAAATAGGGGTGAAAAATCCATTAAAAATTCTCACGTTAATCAAGAGAGTGGACGATTAATAATACAATACATAATTATAAACTTCTAATAGCTGAATATACTAAAAAAAGATACTGCACTGTTTTAAACTACAATGAACTACAATAGAACTTCTGTCTGCTATGACTTTTCTGAAATACATGGAAAACGCTGGTAGTTCAAAATGTTAAAAATCTATTGATTTTCGCCCTTTGATATGGCGTACTAGGTTTCCTCACACTTACAGGACAAATATTTTTGACCACTACTTCTAATCCTAAGGAAAAGTTTTCACTGGTGAGCTGCATTCTTTCTAGATGTGGAATTTTTTGGACAGTAGTACTCATATCTACGAAAAACGTGAAAACGTATTTTTACATTCTTTCAACCACTATATTGCGGGTAGTTTTGTATTTTCCAATAACTTTGGTTACTGCTAATTATCCTAGAACTATATATTATCTTAAAATTACTAGAATTTCAATGCAGAATCATTAAGGACTTTCTAGGGGGTGATTAGTGTACTTTAGGCCCGGACAATATTTGAGGCACAAAATTTGCATCTAGGCGGAAATTTGAACAATTAGGATGCATGGAGTAATACATCTAATGAATATAGTGGATTTCGTGTAAGGTATATTTCAAAATAGAAAAGAATTATACGATACACAAATTCGATTAACCAAGATGAAAGATTTGCACCCTACTCGAAACACGGCACAAATCTGATAAAATATCTAGATTGATATGACCGCAATTACTGAGCATTTTATTGAACATATAATATGTTTATCATGGAGGTTAAATGAAGAATCATTGAAATCCTCAGCTAGTTAGCAACCAACACACCCTTTTTTCAATTCTGTAATAAAGTAAATCTGATACTTTTTTCTATTGATCAAACTTGCGACTAGGTCGCAAATTCTACTTTTTGATTGGTCGAATTTGTGCCTTAATCGCAAATCCTGTACCCAGGATCAACTGAAAAAATATTTTTTTGTTGCAAAACTAGGTGACTCATGAAGTATTTGTTGATTTAATATGAGCGTTATGGGTCTGTCTTACACAAATCGTATAATTTTTCATTAGCTTAAGAGATATTTAAGACGAAATTGACTACACCCATCAAATCCATTTCTTCAAAAACGGCTTCTAATTGGTCGAATTTGCTCCTGGAGCAAATTTTGATTCCCGCGAGTCAGTAGTAAGATCGAGCCTTCGGGATAGCGCATCTAGATATCCGTTCTTTTTTCAGGATTCTACTTCTAGTCATAAAGAATGATTTCACACAAATACATTTTTGAATAATGTCCTTTATCGGACAGAAGAACATTCTCTTACTCAAGGGCTGACCCAGCTGGTGACGAGCCCTACCTTTTTTCCCCGCGTCTCGTCACATGCCAGCAGCCTGCTGGATCTCTTTCTGACCACGCACCCTGTCCCTTACAGTACTGCTGTCCTGTCCCCTCTAGGTAACTCAGACCACGGTGTTGTGGAGGTTAGGTTTCGGCCAGAACCCGCTGTGGCAGCAGAAGCTCGTACAGGCCGCAAAACTTGGCATTACGGACATGCCGACTTGGAGGGGCGAAGAGACTTCTTCTCTAGCTTTCCTTGGAGAGATGTCTGTTTCATTGACGCGGATGCGTCGGCTGTCGGTTCTTCGATAACCGAAATTATCCACGTCGGGATGGAGGAATACATCCCTCACACAGTGAAATTGCCTAAACCAAGGCCAAGTTAGGCACAGGGTAATGTCGCAGCGCAATGGCAGTCGGTCTTTCTGGACGCTGGCCAAGCAGATTGAAAAGAACTTCTCACACAGTACCCTTCCACCACTCAGGTGTCAAGATGGAACTATTGCATTCGACTCAAAGGCCAAGGTGGAAGTGCTAGCCAAGACCTTTTCCGCCAACTCCACCATGGACGTCCCCCCCCCAACGCCCAAGTGCCGTCAATTCAAAGGGTTCCCTACACTATGTGGGAGGTAACATTCAGGCATAAGAGCATAAAACAAGTGCTCTTGTCGCTCGAGAACAACAAAGCTTCTGGTCCGGACTTGATTCCTGCCATTCTACTGAAGACGGGTGCAGCGGAGTTTGCTCCAGTTCTTTAACGTCTCTTCCAGATATCTTATGAATCCGGCACCTTCCCACTTTGCTAATGTCCAACCCATCCCAAAAAAAGGATCTAACCCCGACCCTTACAACTACAGCCCTATAGCTCTGCTTTCTGTTATAAGTATGGTGATGGAGAGGTGCATAAATTGTGAGCTTCTGGACTACCTCGAACGACACAGCGTGATTAGCGACAGGCAGTATGGTTTCCGGCACCAACGATCAACAGGGGACCTCGTAGCTTACGTCACTCAATTGTGGAGTAAACTCATCCAGTCTTATGGTGAGGCTCATGTCATCACGAAAGCGTTCGATCAGCTGTGGCACGCTGCCCTCTTAAGCAAACTTCCATCCTATGGCCTCCCAGAAAAGCTTTGCAGATGGGTGGCTGACTTTATCTCTGGCCGCAAGATATCCGTCGTAATTGACGGGTTCTCTTCTTCATCCCACAATGCCAACGCGGGTGTTCTCCAGGGATTGGTCTTGGCTCCGACACTGTTTCTCTTACATATCAACGACCTCCTTTCCTGCACGATCAACCCAATCTACACCTTCGCTGATGACAGCACTCTACATGCAGGAATTCAGAGTGACAAGCCGATCTTTGCCGCTGAGCTGGAAAAAAGAAGACTAGCGACGACTTCCTCTCTGACAAGAGACCTGGAGGCTATCACTACTTGAGGACGCAACAATCTTGTACAGTTCAATGCTTCCAAAACACAGTACTGTACTTTGACAAACAAAAAGCGCCCTAGCGCTCACCCGGTTTCGATGGATGGCCGAGTTCTGCCAAAGAGACATTCATTTCGGCTGGTCGGAGTCCAGATCACCGAGGATCTGATCTGGCACGAACATATCTCGTCAATAGCTGCAGCCGCTGGGAAAAACCTAGGCTATTTGTTTAGGGCTAAGAAGTGCTTTTCTCCGCATGACCTTCTCACTCTATACAAGGCCCAGATAAGGCCTAGCCTCGACTATTGCTCACACGTATGGGATGCTGCCGCCCCGACTACATTATCCATGCTCGATGCTGTCCACAGGAGGGCGGTCCGACTGATCGATGACTCTGCTATAACAGGCAGTCTCGGGACTCTTTCGCACCAGCGGACCGTCGGCGCTCTAGCTCTTTTCTACCGCTACACCAACGGGCTTTGATCCTCAGGGCTCTCTTCCATGATGCCGCCGCGGGACGTGCCTGCCAGACAGACTGGCCTGACTTTGGCGTTCTACTAACCTTAGGCAGTTCAAAAATCGCATTAACAAAATTTGTTTGAGATCATCATATCAGTCGCGGTGTTCCGGCATTTAGGCTTCTGCCTGCGCGGCTGCTTCGATATAAAAAAAGTGGAGATAACCACCGAAACTCCTTCAAATACTCTGGCGTCAAGATTATCTCTGCAAAACCTCAAACATGCCTGGTATACCTAAAACGATCTCCTAACATAAACCCTCATCGCCCGTTACTTTTCAGTTATCCCTTACGCTACACCAAATCCAATCCGGTGTCGGTAGCGAATTTTTATAAACTCATAAATAAATTTCTGTATCGTCCCCTTTTTCCATTCTAAATGCATGCGATGTTTAATTCAAAGCTCTCTGCGACCGTCTGGTGGTGGCTACGTGAATGGAGCGACTCAGAACGTCGGTGACTTCTGACCGCAGCACGATTGAAGTCCCTCCACGTAACCCTATTAGTTCAAATCACTGCATCCATATAGATTTAATCAGAACTCAGATTCGGATATGGCGAAGCAGGTTATAACGTGTTTATGTGACTGTTCCTTATACCAGAGACGTAAGCCTAGACAGTCCAGATATTATAAGTTTGTTCCAACAAGCAGCTCCGAACTAGTTCAGAACTAATTCCGAATTAGATCTCTGCGCATGCCTGGGGTAAATTCATTTAAGAACTATTTTCGAGCCTCCGATATATGTTGAAATACAGAATTATATAGCTTGCTGTAGTAAGCATAACCTTAATTAAAGTAAAATTTTAAATTATCAAGTTTCCGTGTGCTGAACTTGGAATTTGACAGAATTCATTGTTTTTTGAAGTACTGTATATCTTTTTTTTTTTAAAATAGTAGACTTAACAAAAGATGAGCAGTCTGGAGATATATGTTAATGGAATAGTACGAAAGTTCGCTTGTTTAACACCGGAATAATTCATGTTGTCTTTAGACGAAGCATGCTCTGATACAGTAGCCAAAACAAAATAAATATACAGGAGGACCACTATTATTAATAGTATGATTGAAATAAGGTTATTGAAATTATCAACCCTTGCTTAAGTGATTCTCATTTATAGTTATTGGACCTTATATAATCAGCTCGACATCTTCATCTCCACTTGAGTCTGCTCCAAAGTAATCTTCATCGTTTCCAGGTTTTGGGTATGTATGGTAAACGGCACAATAAGCATTTGAAATTTAGCTTTGACATATGAACGGATTGGAAAACTAGAAAATGCACAAAGTGGCTGTCACAAAACCGAACTTCTCAGCTAGAACACCTGATTGACGCCATTTATTCTGTAAGGGCACCCGCGCTATCAAATTAAAACTCTGAGTTATTGCTGAGGACCAGAAGTGTGAGAAGCAGTTCAGACCGGTTCGCAATCAGTACGGAATTTGTTGAAACAGAACTACCAGTTACGGAATCGGGTACATTTTTCTGTTGGAACGGCAAGTTCGATCTGCGCATGGTCTGTTCAGTTCGGAAGTAGTTCGATAGTTCGTTGGAACAAAGCTCATATTAGTCACAGTCCTAGCTGAGAAGTAACCAGCGTTATACTAAACACAAGGCCAACAGTTTAGTTATATCCTAGAATATTATATCCCAACGATACGTGGTTTTAATCATTCAAAGAATACAGCCCCGTCTGTCCCGACACGATGTTTTGTGGTGAATTTATTACGCTAAATTTCGTACAAAATTGAGGAAATGCGCAATGCCATACTACGCATTTTGACTGTACAATGACCGCTAGAGCTGATGCCAGACTGAAAAAGAAAACATTTTTTCGTGACATAAGGTGGAAAAAAAATAATACGTAAAGTTCATATAAAGCTGACATAATAGCAACCATTACATACCGAAAAAAATACTCATGCCTAAGACCATACTATTGACACAATAAAATTTTAAAGTTTTGTCCATTACAAAAGAAAATAGAAAATAAATCATTCGTGACCGACCTTTGTGAAACGTCGATTGCATTTTTGAATGAAGTATCTAATTATATGCAAATTGTGAGGAATTTTTGTCAGTCTATTTTTAGTGAAAAATCTGTACAAAACGCTTTAATCCCTTCTAGTCTCATAATACGCTGAAGTTAGTAAAGTTGCACTTTGAAAATATCATGCAGTGCGTTAGTAGAATAACTGTATCTCACATTGACGTTATTTGAAGAATTGTCACGTGCCAAAATCACGTAACCTTTATTTTTACTATTTATCACTTATCAGTAATTTGAATTTCTCTTCATTGATAATAGAGTGCCCATTCCTAGGCCAAGCCCTTTTCAAAGATTTCCTTTTGGCAAATTTAATAGTTTATTGATTGTATAATTTCACTCGTATTATATCTTTCTTTCTCAGCGATTCAGTATGGTGTTGACGATCAGCAAAAAACAATGTAGTTTTTCTCCGTTAGTTGGTTTCCTATAAAACATAATATCTTCTTCAAGGCCACTCAAGATACCTTCTTCTAGAACGTTAGGTGTTCTGAGGGGATTCGCTTTTCTGTTTCCGTTGAGGTCATGGTGCAGGGGTCGTTTCGTCATTTTCCGGACTCTGGGATATCAGGCCCCAAGCGCCAATTCAAGTTTAGTCATTTTGGTTTGGGTGCTACGTCTTCCATTTTTTTTATGGGATTTTGACCCTCAGCGGTAAGTTCTTTTTTCATATACCTTCGGACTACGTGCCTTAATGCGTGTCCTGATGACGTTCGTTCAATATCTGCTTTCTTTTAGTGAATAGAAACAACGGAGGATCTTTCTCCTCCAGTTGGTTGCATCTTGTTGAATAATTACAAAATGGTGGAAGCCATCCCCTTGAAAAAAAAATCATGATGTGACCAGGTTAAATATCATTCTAGTTAACAGTTTCATAGATATACATTTATTATTGCTTATTGAATTTCTTAGAGACTTCTTGATTTTCTTGGACATTCTACGTATTCAAATATGGGGGCAGTGCCTACATGGCACCTTCTATTACATTAATCATGATTTTGATTTTTGAGCTGCCGTAACTTTTTAGAACAAGGGTATATCAGTTTAGTACATTTTTATTTTTTGTTTTTTTGCCTTTGCTTTACTTTTCTTGTACAAAAAATGTACATGGTTTTGCTTCAAGTGCGATTGTTTTCAATAAGTAGTTTTATCTCAGGCAGATAGTAGAGTGGATTTTTAAACAGTCTTTCTCTCTCCAGGGTTTTTTTTACTACCATAATTTTTGGCAACGAGGCAAGCAGCCCCTGTCCAGTGACGTGCCCACTACTGGCCACTGACCATAGTTGAGGACATCTGACAAAGAAGATCTACATATAAGTTTAATATTTAGGCGTAAAATATCTGTAGATACTTCGTGCGTATACCATGGTAGACGTTTCGCGGGGTTATCTCGGAAAATAATTTTGTCAGGTTGTATTTAAGATTTATAACATCCTTTCTTTTTTTTATTACTCGCACTCCAGTAGTGAAGGACATGTGCGTTTTTTATTAATCAATATATTGTGATTCATTCAATATCTTGTTTTATTTGGCTCTCTCTATGTGTACTGTTACTTAAATTTAGTCAAGCAAAACAAGTTCCGACTAACATCTCGAAGAGTTGTGGCTTAATCCGTCCTAAGTCACTGGCGCTCTTAACCCCCCTACTCTCCGCTTTGTTGAGCTAGGGCCTAAATTTTCAAGCCACTAGACAACTGTTTTGCTTGGGCTAACCGGTAAATAGTATTTATCATTGTTTATTAATTAACCAAAGAAAAGGGCGTAGCACAATATTCATGTGTTGTTCTTATTCAGCCTCATCAGTGGCGCAGAAAGCTCCAACACCCTTTGTTTTGGTAAAGCAACCTTTTGGACATATGTTTATTGGAACTTTCTGCGTTATTTTTGGATGTACTACAAATAGTGCTACTATTTTATTCAATCGCCCTGAGTAATATACAGGCCACCATCTACTTTATAGTTAACTCGAACGTTCCTTCTCGCTGATCTCTCACAACATTCCGTTTTTGTCCTAAATTTCCGAGATGCAGCCATCCACTGGGACGAATTATTATTCTGGTTCATATTTAAAGTGTACATTTTTAACATCTCCAATCGAGTTTGAAACTTTGCGGAGCCCCAAGCAGAAGTTCTCGTTAAATAGTTTTGCATGCTGCGACCCTCTAAATTATTCAAAAGGGCGCAGGTTGATCTTGTGAGCTGATGCCGAGTTTAGGCTGGGATCACACCGGAGGTATGGCCTTGCATAAATAACCTTTTCACGTTTAATAAAATAATCCTGGGATTCTCTTATTTTATCTCTCTTATTTTTTAAATTCAGCACATTTGCATTTGCGATTTCCAGGATGAAGCCTACATTTCAAGTCAGTGTATTTGAGACAAGAAGCTAAGGGAATTATCAATACGTCATGGTGCTTTTTAAATTTGAAGAAACTTCGTATATTTTTATTTCGTATTTGCATTAACGCTACAATATTCAGCTTATATTCTTCTTCTTTATTCCTTATGGCTTCTGTACCCGTGTACAATCCGCCAGCTCATTTGTCGTGACTGTACTTTGTCTGGCTCTCAGCCATGTACGAGTCACTGTATTGTCTCGAATCCACGTGTAGAAATGCTGTAAAATAAATCTATATCTTCTGCTGTATTATTTCTAGAGCTGGGATGTTGCTATTTATGATTAATGAAAACCTTTACTTATGCTTTCTAAAGTGGTGTGGGGAGGTTAGTCAGACAGATAGCACAATACAGTTATAGACTTTTCTCGTACCCCGGCAATGGAGGTACATTACACACACCCAAAATTTAGCCTCAGAAAAGGATCAGCATTTGTCGAAACAGAACCATACCGATAGAAAGAGGCAGAATTAGATTATCTGTCATCCTATTTTCACCGTTGCAAGCGCTTGCGCGGTTCTCAAAGTGACCCCGTGGCCCGCAGTTTGCTGAAAAGTTATATAGTGATTATTTATGTCTTATATTCGATTATTTCTAACAAAGAATTTTTACTTTCAGAGACTGTCAAATACACTCAAACAAATTAATAATATGATGTTGTCCATCAGATGTTTTGAATCGTATTGGTACGTGTAGCAAAAATTAATAAGTACTCCCAAATATAAATCAGAATAGAATCACATTATCGACAGTACTAAAAGATTGTTCTTATTTTAAGATAAATTCAATTTTGTTGTCGGTACGAAACGCCAGGGACTTGCAGAAACCTTCAAGACGTGACATCTTTGTTGAATTTAATGTGAAATCTCGACAAAATGTATTATGTATTCTGGGTAAAAGTGCTTATGAACGTTACTTTTAGTTTCCAGGAG